TAAGTTAAGATTATTAAGTATAATATAGTAATCATAAATCAGCTATAATATATAGTTATAACTATATACTATAGTATACTATAGTACAAACAGTGCCGGATTGTTATGGTAACATACGTTAAAACGTATGTTACTATAACAATCGAAGGAATGCTGTTTTATACTATAGTATAAAATGATAACTTACAACGATATATCGTTATAAGTTATTATTTTAAGTTATCATTGGAGTCTATTATGATAACTTAAATTATTAACTTACAATGATAATGCATGTTACTACAATAATAGATGGCATGTAATAAAACAATGCAAGGCCTTAAAATAAGACGCATGCTATAAATTATAGCATAATATATTAAATTATAGTATAATATAGTAGCATGCGTATATATAATGATAGCTATAATTATAGTAAGAATAACCACATGATTTTTTATAGCCTTATTACATCCTTATTATATTACAGTTATTACAATAACTAAGGATTTTTATCTCACAATAAAATCAGCACCTAATTATAATGAGTCTGTTAATTTTATATAAAAATTGTATTATTTTCAAAACTGTTAAGCTTACAAGTTGCAAAGTGGTGTTAAAAGTTGTGTAAGTTTGTAATTTTTTAATATCATTTTCATGTGTCTTAGTAACAATAAGATAGTAAATTAGAACATTAAGTAAAAAGGTATATAAAGTAAGGTATATTTAATTTATATTCAATTTGTAAAGAATTAAAATTAGAATATTGAAAAACAAAATATATAAAAAGATAAAGATAAAGTTGGGGAAATCAATTTATGAATTTTATCATGTATTTGTTGTTGATAAATATTTCGCCTCATGCTTATTGCTAAAAAAAAAAAAAAAAGACTTTGACTAATATTTTGTTTTGGGTGTATTAAGGGACATCCAACAATTTTTTGAAAGTAAAGGAATTTTTCAATTGTTTTTTTAAATTATCAAGCTTATATTTAAAAGCATTTTTTATACTTTAGTAAAATAAAATTAGGGAGGTCCATTGGTGTATCTTATATATATATATATATATATATATATATATATATATATATATATATATATATATATATTATATATATATATATATATACATGTAAATGATTAATTTTAACTAATAAAATAAATTAATAATAGATTTTAAAACTTAATAAAATTATAATTGCGGTAAAATTTTGAGTAAAAAAGCTTGAGAGCAACAGGCATTTGAAAAAACAGGCTTTTGAATCAGCATTGCCGAACGCCAACCTGAATTTTGCAGGCTGTATATGTATGTGTATGTATTTATATTTATATTTATAAAAATTTGTATATATATATATATATATATACATATATGGCTAAACTGCCACAGGTCATCATGCACTGCACTACTTAAACTGTTTATTAAACAAGGCAACAGGTTATAATACTTTTACTACTACTACTACTACTACTACTACTACTACTACTACTACTACTACTACTACTACTACTACTACTACTACTAATACTACTACTACTACTACTACTACTACTACTACTACTACTACTACTACTACTACTACTACTATGTATGCATATGTTCTGGTCTTTTAAATATCTACACTCTAACATATCTTTTCTTTCTGTTTATCCTTTTAAATAAATTAAATGAAAAAAAGTTGTAGCATTTCTAATTATTAAGCAAATTGTTAATTTGGCTTCTATTTTGCTGGCGTTTTTTAAATCATAACAGTTTCTACAACCTTATGGTTAAATTTATATTAGAGAGTCTAAGCATAAAAGTAACTCAATCTGAAAGAGGTTGTGCTAAATGAGTTAAACAATATTTGTTTTCCTAATTTGATATCGTAAATTTTTTTTAATTTTTTATATTTGTTTTTATTAAACATTATTTATAAAATATTAAAAACACATGTTTAATAAATAGTGCTTATTCAATCTTTTTTTAAGCTATAAATGAATTAAAATATATAATATGGCTTATTTTCGGAAATATAGAAGGGTGCAAGCAGAACTAGCTGCTATTTTAAAAGGAGACTCCCATTCAAAAGAAGAGTCTCATTCAAAAGATGACCCATTCACACCTGTACTCAGCAGTGAAATCTCACACACAGAAAACAATAGCTTAATGAATGATGCTAAAAATGTCTTGTACAAAATTGATTGTCATAATAATGACAAAATTGATTATACCACTAACTTAAGCGAACAAGACACATCTTCAGATCCTGAGTTTTGTTATAGTGATGAAGATAATGTTAATAGTAAAGGTAATCAAACTTTAAGCCAAGATTTATCTGTCATTGTAAGTAAGTATAATCTTCCCAGACTTTGTACAAATGAGTTATTAGCTGTGCTTAGAAAACATGGGCATATTCTCCCAAAAGATGCTCGTACTTTACTTAAGACACCAAAGCAATTTGAATGCAAAGAAATGTGTGAGGGTTCCTATATCTATTTTGGAATAAAAAATGCTATTAAAAAACAGTTGCAAATACTGCCCAATTACACTAATAAAAACAATAAAATAGAACTTTGTGTTAATGTTGATGGAGTTCCTTTATTTAAATCATCTAAAATACAGATTTGGCCTATTCTCGGTTTATTTTATGCTTCTAATGTTTTTATGATTGCACTTTATTGCGGAAAATCTAAACCTAGTTCTGCTTCTGAGTATTTAAGAGAATTTATTTCTGAAATTAATTTACTTGAATCTGAAGGCATTACTTATGAAAGTTGCAATTATGAAGTTTCCATCAAATCTTTTATTTGTGATGCTCCTGCTCGTTCATTTCTTAAAGGAACTATTGGCCATACAGGTTTTTATTCTTGTGAACGATGCGAAATAAAGGGATCATATGTTGATAGCAGAGTAGTATTTAACAACGATGAAGATTTTCCACCACGCAATATGACTGATTTTAATAATTTTAATTACAAAAATACTCATCAGCATCTTTTGAGTCCTCTTGTTCATACTCAAGTTAATTGTGTAAATGATTTTGTTTTGGACTATATGCATTTGGTATGCCTCGGTGTTGTGAAAAGATTACTCATGTTTTTAAAAAACGGACCAAGATTATGTAAACTATCAAGCATGCAAATAAAAGCTATTTCAGATCACCTTTTAGCATTAAATGGTAAACTACCATCAGAGTTTGCAAGGCAACCAAGATCGCTTGATGAGTTGAAGTACTGGAAAGCTACTGAATTTAGACAATTTTTATTATATACTGGTTTGATTGTGTTAAAAGGAATTGTGTCAAAAAACATTTATCAACACTTTCTTGCCTTGAGTGTAGCTATGCGTATACTTTTAAATGAGAACATAGAACTTCGTATGCATTATCTTAATTTTGCTCATTCATTGTTAGCATGGTTTGTAAAAAATTCTAAGCATATCTATGGCGGTAGTTTTTGTGTGTATAATGTACATAGTTTATTACATATTGATGAAGATGTTATTAATATGCAGTGTTCACTCAATGACGTTTCTGCATTTCCTTTTGAAAACTATATGAGGGTGTTAAAAAATTTTGTGAGAAATTCAAAAAATCCTATTGTCCAAGTGTCAAAACGTCAAGCAGAGTTTGAGAGTATTACATATCAAATACAAGTTTCCAAAGTTAATAGAGTGTCAACATGCTTTCGTGATTCAGTCTTTCAAATTGAAAATGGTTTTTGTTTTGTTAAAGAAAAGCGGGATAGTGGATACTATGTTTGTTCCACGTTTAAATTTAATCAATTGGAATCATTGTTTGAAATCCCGCTACACTCAAAAGATTTGAACATTGGATGTGTATCGAATTTTAACGGCTTTAACATGGCATCAAAAGTGTTGCATAGATCACAGCTTTTAAATAAAGTAGTTGTCTTACCATATAAATTTGGATTTGCATTTTTTCCTTTAATTCATATGTAGTTGAAATTATAATAATTTTTTTTATTGAAATTATAATTTAATGTTGCAATAAATTTTTTCAAACACATCTTAAAAATTCAGAATTTTAATAAATTTCATCTTGAATGTGTTGATTTTTTAAAATTTAATTTATGTTATTTATATGCATATTTATATATTATGTGCAGTATTTTTAAATGAAATGTTACAAATGTTTCACAGACACACACACACACATACACACGCATGCACGCACGCACGCACGCACACACACACACACACACATATATATATATATAGATATATATATATATATATATATATATATATATATATATATATAGTCTTGCATGTCTCTTGCGTAGCATCAAAAAATATTTCCCATAAACTGTAGTTTTAAAGAGCGCGTTAATAAACCAGACCAGAAAAAGTTTTAAAAATTAAATTTTTTTTTTTAATTGATAGACTGCCTGGCCAAACCAAACCCTCAGTCGATGTAGCAGCACTCTCTTGCGAGTCAGGCTATTTGTCAGTCGTTGTAGCAGCACTCCCTTGCGAGTCAGGCTATTTGTCAGTCGATGTAGCAGCTTTCCCTTGCGAGTCAGGCTATTTGTCAGTCGATGTAGCAGCACTCCGTTGCGAGTCAGGCTATTTGTCAGTCGATGTAGCAGCACTCCGTTGCGAGTCAGGCTATTTGTCAGTCGATGTAGCAGCACTCTGTTGCGAGTCAGGCTATAAGATAGTCGATGTAGCAACATTTACGCATGTTTAAAAAATGTTTTTTATTAAATCAATAACAAAAACACCACTAATTAAAAAAAACTTTCTAGTCGTTATAATTGCGGTTTTTTAAAAATTTTTTAAAAAACAATTAAATTTAATGTACTTCCGCATAAATTAATTGCTTTGACATTTCGATGACAATCAAAAACAGCTTAAGAGACGAGGTAATTAAAATTGTAGTCGTAAGAGACTTTTTTTACATTAAAATGCTCTTAAAGCGACACTATATGAGTATATATATATATATATATATATATATATATATATATATATATATATATATATATATATATATATATATATATATATATATATATAGTGTGTGTATGTGTGTTTGTGTGCAGTTTATCTATAATAATGTTGTGGGCACGCGTTATCTGGAAAGAGTTAGGTCATCGGATCTATGAAGATGTTATCCCCAGAACTTGGATAAACCGTGAAAAAGGTGTTATTTATTGGCCCGATGTAATAAAAGATGAAAGAAAGGCAATGGAAGGCAAATTGGAAATAAAAATGTGGAAAGAATTTACACTGATCAAGTTTATAATTGAAAGTGGTAATATTTTTAGTTTTTTGTTTGTTTAGATATTTGAAGGGTGATTATTAAGTATGAGGAGACCATCTGCAAAACGCACTTAAAATAAAATTTTTGAGTTAATTTCGTTTCCACATTCTATCTACTGAAATCTGAATTCTCTATCTATTTTTATGACTCCTAGTCATAATGCAAAATAATCAATTTACTTGGACTTAGCACATTTTTCAAAAGGGCTTCTAATACATTGAAGTTATATTATCTTTTTGTTTTTAATTAGATGATGAGCAATTGTGTAGAGATTATGCATTTTCATCAGAAAGTGAAAGTGAAAAAAACACTAAAGATGGTGAGTGACCAACTGATAATTTTGTAACTTTTTAAATACAGTACAGTGCTATGCATTTAATACTATATATAAATTTGAACTATGAGGGATATATAAAACATATATGAATATTATTTTTATAGATAATGTATCAAATAAATTGATTGACTTTGCAGTTGCCCAAAATTTGCCAGTTCCTCCTTTGCCATTCAGAGGTAGCATTTGATTATAAAAAGTTTTTCAAAAATTTAAATAATTATATTTAAGAATTATAAGAGATTAAGATTTATAATGTAAAACAAATAATATCAAATAAAGTTCGATTTTAAATTTTAAATGGTAAGTTTGATTAAATATCTTATTTTATAGGCATTTGTTCATCAAGCTTAGCATCACATCATGTAGCTCCTCCAACTCAACTATTAACTTCCTCTAGTCAACCAAAGCTCTTATTAGACTTGTTTAGAATACCATCTTCTGAATCAGGTACATTGGAATTCTATTCTCATTGAAGTTAAATTAAACGTTATAGGAAATAATGAGATGAATTAGAAATTAAAATGAATAATTAAATTTCAAGTTAAACTAAAATAAATTTAATTATAAATAAACTCAAGTTGGTTATATAAGTGATTTTATGATGTTATCAAGGGTTGCAAAGTCAAAGTCAAACTTTCAAAAATAAAACTATTAATTCACGTAAAGATGAAAATATGGATAATATAGCATCTAAGAGATGTAAACTTTCTAATGATGCTATGAGTCTGGAATCAGATTTTGAATCAGGTGGGAGTTCTGCACTCCATTTATCAGAAGAGTGTCTTATGCCATTAGCTAGTATGTTTTATATCTTTTATCAATATATTTGAAATTATTTTATACCTAAATATATTGTGTTAAATTATATTTTATTGTAAACTTTATTTTAGAATATCAAAAAAAAACCCTTTCGTTATTAATTGAGATACGAGATGGAATAAATACATTATTAAAAGTTAACAAAAATAATGAAAGTTCGAATGATGTAAATATGATAATGGATGTTGAAACATTGGAAATAGAAAATAATAGATTAAAGAACATGGATGTAAAGAAGATTTTGGTATGTATCATTTATATGTATAAATATAGCACTTTTAAAATTTAGATTAGTGGCGCATCTGGAAATTTCCAGTTTCCAAAAGTGCAATAGACTAATTTATGGACCTTTTGCAAGTATTATTGAAATTTTTTTGAAAATTTTCAAGGCAGTACAGAATTTTTATATCAATAGTTTACACTATTAATTCCGTATTTGTAAAATAATGGTGGAGATTATTTATTCCTTTTTTGATCTCATTGCAATATTTATGCATTTATGCGTTTAAACTGGGTTATAGATTTTTCTATTTCTGGAAAAAATGAAGGTTTATTGAATTATTCTCTGATTGGTGAAATTTTTATATTAAAGTACCTTTTTTCTCATTTACTTGTAGGTGGAAAAGCTAAAAGCTATTGGTGGGGATAATTTTGAAAGACATACACGCAACATAATAACAAAGTAAATTTATAATTACTTTACTTTTTATATTGTATTATTTTAATCTTGAAACAATTCTAAAGTTTTTAGATGCATTAATTTAGATATAAAATTTACTGAATTTGATTTAAATATTCTTTTTTTTATTAATTGGTTTTGTATTATTTTTGGTTAATTGTTTAATTATATAACTTTTTCATATCATTTCATTTTTCAGATTATTCAGTGTTGAACTACGCTCGAAAATGAATATGAAGGGAAAAGACCGAAAAGGTTCTTTAACAACAAAGATTGCATTTGATAAATTAGAGTACAGTAGTGTAATTTATGGTGAGATTAGTTTTACTTATCTGTACTTATTGTTTTATATTTTATTTACACATATAATGTATGTATTAATGTTAATAAACTTATAGATGCAGTTATGTTTAAATGGAACAATGCCGATCAAAGTTCGATCCGAAAAATTATAGCAAACAAGTTGAAAAATGCACCTGCAGAGTTAAGACTTTCACCAAAATAGCATTAATTTATTTTATTTTTTTATATATATATGTATATTGTTTTAACAGAAAGATCAACTCAAACTAAAAATTTATATGTCATTTTTTATGGTTTGAATTTCTTTAAAAGGCGCATTGTGACTTAGCTTTAAAAAACATCTTCAAAACACGTTTTTTTAGATTTGCGATCTAAACTAAAAAAAGACGCATTTTATACATTTAGCTTCAACGTATAAAAAACATTTTAAAAGCGTATTTTTATTAGGGATAAATTACGTATTTTCAATACGCATAAAAGACGGCTTTTTAACACGTAGTTTCAGATTTGCATTTTATACTATAAAAAGACGTTATTCATACGATTTTAATATGCGTATTTATAACGTTTAAAAAACGTAGTTTTGCCTGCTGGGTTATAATTATGAGAATAATTGAACTTTAAACATTGCGATTTTGTAGCAATGTTAGCCACATATCATAGCTTTGTAGCTAGCTACAAAATATCTACAAATCTACAGCTGATTGATAGGTACATATAAAAATTTCTCAGACAGCAATTTTATTATGATATGAAGCTAGCTACAATAGCCAGTAGGTCTGTAGCCTATTAAGCGAACTGACCTCTTAACCAAATAGCTGTCTTTATCGACTAATAGTGATAGCTTTTCGCTATCTTAAAAAAGCAATCCTCGAGGCCAAATCGCTGTCGTTACGATTACAGCCAGCTATTCGCTGGCCAATCTCCCACCGGGTATTGTTTAAAACTTTTAGCATTTTAACAAAAAATATATTATTTTTTATCAGTTTAAGATATAAAATGTTTATTTTTTAATGCAGTTAGTTAAATAAAAACAATTTTTTTTTTAACATTGAAGAATCTAAAATTTTTTGTTCAACTTTTACTTATAGGTAGTTTCTGAACTGATGAAAATAAGTCATTGAAAACTCAATAAAAAAGGAATTAAAATATTTGTAAAACCGTTTTGGCGTATTTTATACTCATAAACTAAAAATAAAAAACGCAACTCAATTATTAAGTATTAAAAATTAAATTGTTCTTTTGTTTATGAACAAAAGAGTATCCTTACTTAATACTTTCTCTTTTATTAAAAAACTTTTCTTTTTTAAAAATAACTTTTTTCCAAAAAAGTTGATTTAAAAAAATAAAACATAAAACACTATTATGCCAAGACGTAGAGTTAGTTGTACAACCAAATGACATTTTTACTTTAAGAATCATATAACATAAGGTCCGTATTTTATCAGATGAAAATAATCTTATTAACTAGTGTAACCGTAATCGCCTTTTATCAAATTAATTTCTATATACTACGTGTCATATTCAATGTGGAATATTAAAACAAGCAGAAGTAATAAAGGGAAAGCATTAAAATATTTTTAAAATGTAAAAAATACCATGAGATCAAATTTTTCATCAGAAATTGTCTTTCAATACAAAAACAAAAAGACAAAAACAAAAAGAGCCAAGGAAGTAGAACTAAATTGCAAACACACTACTGATCGTTGAAAAAAAGTAAACCTTTAGTATCACAAAAGAGCTTTATTGTTAAACTTTACAAGTTATTTACGTGAGTTTGTTTGAAAATTTCTGGACGCAAACAAAAAGGTTTTAGTGAATATTCTTCGTATTAACTTATCTGGTTTGAATATATTTAAAAAAAAAAAAAAAGATAGAAAACTTTAAGTAAATTATCGATAACGTTCAGATTCTTATGAAGAATGATTTTTTTGTTGTTATTTTTATGGTTCGTGCATACAGAGGCGATTTTACAGAGGGTAGGGTAGGGGTGTTCAAACCCCTCAAAGAAGGTGATTTTCAAGTCATAGTCGGTTTTTGACAAATATAATTGGTAATCATGTGTTTAACATAATTTAGTCAGGTAAATTTTAGTTTGAGTACCTCTATTTTTGTTAAAAAAAAATTCAGTTGGTGTACTTATTAAGGATTAACTCCCCCCCCCCCCTCATTTTGTTTGTAAAATCGCCTCTGGTTGCATACATAGTAGTGGCAAGCCTACCGTTCACCTAACAATTAAGGAAGGAGGGGGGGTTGAGCAGCGAATTTATGAGCCCATTTGCAAATTTAGGGGCTCCTCTGAAATTTAAGGAGTTTTTTTATTATAGCAACACCTAGTGTAAGATTTTAGGGCCCTATTGACAATTTTTGAATGGTCTCTAAGCCACCAGCCACGGCGCTGGTTGCATAATTATGCAATAAAGTTTTTGAAACGCTTTTTAATTTTTTTTAATTATTTTGCTAATTATTTTATTGTTCGGCAAAATACTAATAAAATAAAATCGTTGCTAGTGGGATGTTTGTATCTAGATCATATCCAACTCGCAATAATTTATGATATTAGTATATTGCCGAACAATGAATTAATGGACTGGAAAACTTTATATACAAACCGCACCCTTAATCTAATGCGGCTGTCCCTAAATCATTTGATATATGTGCACTCACTACCTACTCAATCCCTAAATGGTATACTGTTTGGGAAATTACTAAAGTTGTCAAAATCATTGCGAGTGGGATATGATCTAGACAACCAAGTGGGATATAATTAAAACAACCCTTTTTTTTCCATATCTCCTCACACATTCATTTAATTCTACCCTATTTACACACACAAAAAATATTATTGAAAAATTATTTAACATAATAGATTTTTTTTTGTAAATCTCATATTCTCTTCTATACTTCTTAGATAAATACACTTTTGAGAAGGTGAGAATTACAAGATTTGCCTCTTTCAAACATAAATAGTAAAAAGCCAGGAAAAACTAATTCATATGTTAAAGGATGCATTTTTAAATAATGATCATCAATAACAGATACTACCTTAAAATATAATCATTTGGTCTAGGTATCTAATTCAGTCATAATTAGTGTTGTCTTTATTTTAATCTTGTTTATTGTTATAAAATTAGTTTTAAAATCTTGTTTGATTTTATATAAATGTAGAAGCGTTCACTGTTCACAAATGTATTGAAAATCTAAACATCACTATTTATTATCATTTTTACAAGTTTTCTTATCAATCATTTGTTGACTTCATACAAATTAGTGTTTTAAATGTATCATAGGTGAATTATATATTTTATCAACTTTACTTTTTAATTAATGTTGTTATAAATAATATAAAATCTTTTCTTTTAACCTGCATTATTGAAGTTATCCTTAAAGGCCTACACTTTTCTTTATTTCGAGTAACTTTTGGGGTACCTCAAGGTTCTATCTTTGGTCCTGCTTTATTTCTTATCTACACTTAATTTTCCTGACATTCTTACATCTAAATTGGCTTTATTTACTGATGACTTGACTTTAAACTCTTTTTTTGAAAAAATCTTCTATTTTTGATCACTTAGAACAAGCATTTCATCTGGAATCTGATATCTGTAACAGATTAGAGCTTACTGTGGCTTGTGAGTTTTAAGTCTAACAAAACTCACTTATTCAATTTAAAAATATACTGTCAATATAAGACTTCTGTCGACATTTCTATACTGATAAATGGAACCCTCTAACTGAGTTCTATTCTTGACCTATTTTTGGATTTTTGTTCGCACTGACCTCTCATAAAAACCATATATACAATCAATTGCTAAATTAGCATCTGCAGGGGAAAAAGAATTTACAAAATAAAGAATAGAAAGTTAAATACAGTATTTAAAAATAAACAATGCCTGTTTTTGCGCCAAAAATGTTTTCATCCGCCCTGCACTCCATCAATTTTTTATTAAATCAGTATTAAAGTAACATTTTAAAAATATAAATTGGATTTAGTAAGATTTTTATATTATTTTTTCGTCATATGAATTTTTTATATTTTTTATTTTTGTTTGTTTAATTATTAAAAAAGAGAGTTGCAGAGGAAATTAGATCGCTTATTGTTACACTTTGGAAAAAGGGAAAATTACAGCGAAATATAAGAAAAATAGTGAAGAAATCACATGCAACTGTGCAGTCCATTATCAAAAAATACCAAACCACTAAAAAAATTGCTGAATTACTGCTGAAAAAATAAGCTGCGTACAGGGCGTCCAAATAAAATTCAAGTATTGCATCAACGAGCTATTCTGAGAACAGTCATCCAGAATCCTAAAATAAGTGTTCCAAAACTCGCTGGAATGCTGCAAAATAATTACAACTTAATAGTGGATCCTATAAATGTTAGAATACCCTTAAGAAGATTTAAAAATAATGGTAGTGTACCATTGAAAAAGCCCTACATCAGCAAAGTCAACAAAGCCCAAACAGCTACACTTTGCAAAGCTTCATATTAATAAACTACAGACATTCTGGGAATCGGTCCTTTTCAAAGATTAGTCAAAATTTAATGTATTTTCATCAGATGGAAGAGTTAAAATTTGGAGAAAACCAAATGAACCATTTAAAAAACAAAATTTGTGTCCAACAGTGAACAGCATGCAGGAGGAATTGTTTTAGTGTGGGGGTGTAAAAGTGCTTCAGGTGTAGGAAACTTGGTTTTCATTGATGGAAATATGGATCAAAATGTGTATTTAAACATTCTGAAAAACAATCTGGAGGAAAGTGCCCACAAATTAGGACTTACTCTGTCATTTAATTTTCAGCTAGTTAACGATCCTAAACATACAGCCAAACGTGTCAAGGAATGGCTTATATTTAAAATGGCAACTTCATACACCCCCACAATCTCCAGATTAACATCCTATCGAACATCTGTGAGATGAATTAGGTAGAAGAATAAGAACAAACATTGCAAAAACTACAGTTAGTAATTATGAAAGAGTTGGGCTAAATCACTTTAAAAATTACCAAAAAAATAGTTTGTTTTTTGAAAAACAGACTTAATGAGGTAATAAAAGCTTGTGGTGAAAACACAAGTTATTAAAACACTAACAAATTGAATTTGAATAACAATTTTACTTGATTTTTGTAAAGTGGATAAAAACTTTTTTTGGACAAAAATATCTACCTTATATTCCAAAATGCTATATTGTTTTTGTTACTCATTACTTTAATAAAATCTTTTTGTACAATATTTTTTAAATATTTAAATGATATATTTTGTTTATATCATGCTTACCTCTTTGCTGAAAAAAAAGTTATTGGACTTTTAAAATTTGCAAGATAGGTGGATGAAAACTTTTTTGACACAACTTATTTGTGCAAAATGTATAAAGGTCTCTGACTAAGTCCTCTTCTTTATGTCTTCTCATTCATAGTTGCTTGCAGCTATGAATGAGAAGTAAGAGTGAATCAGAATAATAAGAGAAAAAAGTAACTCATACACACACACACACACACACACACACACACACACACACACACACACACACACACACACACACACACACATATATATATATATATATATATATATATATATATATATATATATATATATATATATATATTTATATATATATATATGTATATATATATATGTATATATATATATATATATATATATATATATATGTATATGTATATATATATATATATATATATATATATATATATATATACATATATATATATATATATATATATATATATATATATATATATATATATATATATATATATATATATATATATTTGTGTGTGTGTGTGAGTGTGTGTGTGCTCTTATGTGCTTGTGGTATATACATGTTTATATATATATAAGAAATGTAAATTATACCGGTAATGCATAAATTATTTGGAGAAATTTGTAAAACAAAGTGAAGATAGTTTTACAGATAGTTTTAAAATTGCAAATTGAAGTTGAAAAAGTTAAAGTTAAAATATCAAAATGTCTCCTGATTATATTTGTTTTTGTTGTTTGAATTTTTGTTACTTTTTGTAACAGATTTTTTTCATTCTATATTTTAAAAAATGTACGCTATGTTTTGTTAAATTAACTATGTTGCTAAAGATTTTTAGTTGTATAAATGGGAAAGTTGACCGAGTTTGCAATCCTTTTTGATAACAATCAGGAAGTATTTTATCCTGGCCAAAATATGTCTGGTTGTGTTGTCATGGCATTAAGTAGTCCAATGGAAATGAGAGGAATCAAGGTAACAGCTAAAGGTAAAAACAAAATTAGTTTGCTTATATGTAAGTGGTGATGCAATCAAGGTTTTACTATTTTTATTTTAAAATGACATAAATTAAGTGTTATTTTAAAGAGATTTTTTAGAAGAATTTTTTTCTTAACAGTATAAAAATCTTTAATAAGTTAAATCTTTTTTTGTGATAATTTTTTTAAATGTCTAATTTAACAAGAGAGTCTTTTGATTTCAACCTAGCAAAGCTAACAAGGCTAAGTAAACTGATGTATCCTGACATTAATGAAAAACTCAAAAGATGTGTTTAGTTCAAATTGCATGTTGAAATGTTAGAAAAAATTATTCTTATTTGGTGACATGCCATAAAGAAAACTATTTTTAAGTAAGGTTCGTAAAAAACATTTCCAGAAGGAAAAAATCACAACTGCGTTGATAACTATTGATGAACTGCAGATGTAACCTTTGCAATACCAAGCTTTTCATCTGTAAAATGTAACACACAAGAGTTTTTATGACAAAACTTTTAAAAACCTTAATTTGTAATTTCTATTTTGTGAAATTAAGTTGTTAAATATATTGGGCATGTGCTGTTTATCATGTAGTGTATATGCTGTTGAATATGAAGTTCATGAGTTTTACAAGGTGTTGAGTTGAAGTTTTTAACTAGTTACAAATATTTACATTTTTTTTATTAAAGACAAATATTGTTGAATCTAGAATATACTTATTTATTGGTGCCAAATAGATTGTTTATTGGTAGATAAGTTACTGGCTAGTGCCCCAAGCTTACATTTTTTTCTTTATTGAGAAAAACATCAAAATAGTTGGACGCAGCTGAACACGGGGCACAGTTGAACAAAGCCATCAAAGCCATCAAAATCAATACAACTCATTCATCTATGCTCAACTGCGAACGCTACACAATGTTACGCTGATCAAGTTAGTATTTAATTAAATTCAGATAAATATTCTTTGTTGTGAAGCTTGATATAAACAAATTGAGATTATTACTTTTCAATTCATATACAATAACAATTGTGATTTCTGGTAAGTTTGTCAATATCATGAATACTTTTGATTTTATCAGCAGATTTGTAACTCACATATTTAGAAAATACATTGTACTCGATGATTTTGGAAGGATTTGACTGGTAGACAGAAGTTTTTGACTGGTAGCTTTCTTGATTTGAGAGCTAATATAAATGGTTTTCATTAAAGTGCTCTACTTGACTGTTTTCTCTGAAATTATAAGGTGTTGTTCTGCTCATGGGAACTCCTTGTGTATGCAAGAAAGTAGGTCATTCTTATATTATAGATTTGCCTCTGTCAGTATGAACATAAGCATACCAAATAAAGAGAACAATTTCTTAAAACATTGTATATAATACTAAAGAAGTATCTGAGCAAGGAAAAGCAAATGAAAATTAAGAGTATTCAAAAATAATTGTAAAAATATAACAATTTTTTTTTTTTGATGTTGGAAGTTTAAGTTAGTGGATCTTTATAATCTATATTAAGGTGTTTGAATGGTTGAGTTGTTTTTATAAGGTAAGCAATAAGTGGTTTGTAGAATCTAGATTTTATTTCACAACAGGTAATGCTCTGGTTGACAATAGTTTTAATTTCTCCTATAGATTATGGTAGATTCCAACAGCTAAAAATTGAAGATTCCAACTGCAGGCAAAATGAAGGTCCTGACTGCGGTATATTCTGACTGTGGGCAAAATGAAGCTCTTCTAATTTTACTTTATTATATACAAACAAGTGGAGTTCATGTTTTCACACTTTGACAACTTTTGATTTAGTCAACCAGAACATAAGAAACATTTTAAGCTGCTTGATTTTCGTAGCTGTAGCAACCAACTTCAGTATGTCATTGCATAATTTTATTATTATTATTATTATTATTATTATTATATTTTGCCTTGATGGTTCTGATTGAACATAAAAAACAGCCTTTTACTTAGTCACTATGATTAAAAGGCACCCAGTTTCCACTTTCAAAGACCTTGTTGGTCTATTTCCTGTTTGTTTAAAGATTTTAAGAAGGTCACTGACTGTTCATTAGGGTTTAACATTGCAGCAAACAAAAAAAAATGCATTAGTTTGGACAACTAATAAATTTGTTTCATCCATTGGTTTGACGACAATATACGCATTGGTATTTTTTAAAGAGTTTCCAATTAAAATTTTATAAACTTTTTGTTGAAAAACAATGCCTGTTTTTCTTGGACCAAATGGCAAACGAGTAAAATGATACAATTTGCCATTAGCTTCAAGTGCTGTATATTGTTTATTTTCTAGTATGGTTGGAATTTGACAATAAGCACTTGTATTATCAAAAATACTGAAAAAGTAATTGACAGTTCATTAATTTGCTTATCTATTCTGGGTAGAGGTACAAAAAATATTGTTTGGGAATAATCAACACACATTTGTTTTTTGTAATTTTTTCGCATTTGTCGTAATTACTATTTGTGCCCTTTAAGATTAGTTACTTGGTTCAATAACTTTGTCATTAGCAATTTCCTAATTTTGGATTAGATGAAGAGTTTTTCTATTGATTCTTTGAAATACAGTTGCAATTGGATGACAATCTTTAAAAATAATTGCAAATAATGTTGAAGTTGACTTGCTGTTTTGACTTTAGGCTACCAACTGACAAAGAAGGTTATGTTCCTCCAAAAAGTACTGTTATATTGCGTTGCTGTTTAATAAAAGCTTGACCAAGAATAACATCAGCAATAAGTCATGTAACATTGACAAGGTAATATATATACTTCTGATTTTGAAAAATTTTATTTACTTTACAACAGCCTTGACTTTTTGACCTGAATTATGAGGATGTCATTTGATAGACTTTAACAATATTTTTGTTGATAAAGTTGTCTGAACTTCCAGAATTTATTAATGTAGAAATTTAGCCCATTTGTTTCTACCTTCTGAATTGCATGTGAGAGGCATTACTAGGGTCCCATTACTTATATATTGTCAAACTTATTAAAAGCTAATGATCCATTTGATTTACACACTTTAGTAAATGTCTTTTTCTTGATATTTGTGGCAAACAGCATCTTGAGCTAGACAAGCACTACGCAAATGGCAGTAATTTCTACAGAAGTAAAACCGTTTTGTGGTTTCGTGGTGAAGTTTGTTGATTATCTGTTTAATTTCTTGCATTCCCCATTGCATTGAAATACGCTAACCCTAACATACATGCATATACATATAACCCTAACATACATGCATATACATTAGATAGTGTTATTATTATTATTATTATCATTTTTATTATTATTATTGTTATTGTTGTTTAATTTATTGCAAAGAAAAAGTAAAAGTAAAATAAATAGCTTCTTGTTGTTTATTTATTTATTCATTTATTATTAGTTATTATTTATTTATTTAGTATGATAAAGTTACATAGTGATATTACTTGATTTTATTATTTTTAAGTGATAATTTTGTAGGAAAAGGAGAATGTCATTGGAGTGAAACAACAGGATCTGGGGATGATCGTCGTACCCATCATTATCGTGGGTCTGAAGATTTATTTGAATTTCAATTATGGGTTCATGGAAACACTGCAAAGTTTACAAATGAAGCTGGAAGATTTTTTTTTCCTTTCAATTTTATTCTTCCTCCAGTTTTACCAAGTTCATTTGAGGGGCTTCATGGACACATACGATATAAAGTCTATGGTAAGATGGTTTTTATAAACTAAAAAGATGATTTTTACTAATTAGCTGTAAACTTAATTAAAAGTAAATTATATAAAAAAAAAAAATTTTAAACAAATTGATATTTGGAAAAAAAATCTTTATATGGTGAATAAAATAATTTTTAAAAGTTAAAAATTTGTAAATAATACTTAACAAAAGATTTATAAATAATGTTCAGCATGCAAGTCTTGTATTTTTTTTATTTTTAAAGTTTTTATTTTTAGTTTTTATTTTTAAAATTTTTATTTTTAAAATTTTTATTTTTAAAGTTTTTATTTATAAAGTTTTTATTTTTAAAGTTTTTATTTTTAAAGTTTTCATTTTTATTAAGTTTTTTTTTTTTTGTTAAGTTTTTTTATTTTTATTTATTTTTTATTTATCATAATTATTTATTTATTTATTATTTGTTTTTTATTTTATTATTTATTTGTTAATTTTTTATTATTATTTATTAGTTTTTATTTTTTTTTTTTGTTTTTTTTTTAGTTTATTTAATTTTTCTATTAAGTTTTTTTATCAAGTTTTATTTTTACTAAGTTTTCATTTTTAAAATATTGATTTTTTATTTTATATCTATCAGCAGCTCATAGCAGTTGAATATTTGGATATAAAACATTTTTTTATATATATGTTTTGTAAGTTTGCTATTAAACCTTTTTTAAAGAAGCATCTTTTTTCTTTTTTTTTTGAATTTAAAAGAATTTTTATTCAAAATTTATCTGCCTAATAAAAAAAATTAAGTTAATTACTCATTGCTAAATAATTAATATAGAACTGTCAGAATAATAAATAAGAAATTAACTAAATTAAAAAATCTTATCTGATGGTTCTGATGACTCAGACAAATACTCTTTATGAGAATTTTGGATGAAATTTTTATTATTTTTTTACTAGATTCATTAAAATCAAGTTTAAGAAAACATTTGTTTATGATGTAGATTTTGTTTGAATGTTTCGTTTTTTTATTTAGTTTATATTTAAAATCAAACTATGAAGTTTTTTGTATTATTATTTACTTTTTATTCAAATAAACATCTGTTTAATAAAAAAAGTTTAATGTTATATTAATTGAAATTATCTGTATATTGCATTAAAGTATATAAACACTACATTAAAATGCAATATTTAGGTTTTTCCAAGGTCTCAGCTTAAACTAGCAAGATACTTGCTTTTTCGCATTAGCATAATAAAAAAAAATTTTAATTACTTAGTTTTGGATTTTAAAATTTATATGTCAATTAAATTGTTTAAATATTACAAAATCAAGAAAGGGGTAATAGAGTAATAGGAAATTGTTTACTATTCTATAAAACCATAATTTAATCTCCATATTCACAGCCACCCTTTCATGTTACACCATTTTTGAGCTTTTTTTGTAAACTAATCAGCGATTTCTAGTAATGCATTGTTCATTTGCTTTATACTTAAATATAGGCAATTTGTTAAATCAATTACAAAAGAATTCAATAAGTTTTTCTAAGTAAAATGTAAAAACTGATATAACAACTAAAACTGATATAAAAACTAAAGAAGTAGAAACAAGCTTTTGCTGCAAAGATTTTGAAATTCAACAAAGTTGGAGCCATAATAATGTTGATGATGATGATAATGATGATGATAATGATGATGATGATGATGATGATGATGATGATGATGACGATGACGATGACGATGATGATGATGATGATGATGATGATGATAATGGTGATGATGATGATGATGATGATGATGATGATGATGATGATGATGATGATGATGATGATGATGATGATGATGATGATGATGATGATGATGATGATGATGATGATGATGATGATGATGATGATGATGATGACTATGTTAATATAAGGTAGTGCAGCATAAATTGTTTATTAATGCAACTTTTTTTGGCTTTGCAACAAAAAAATTCTGAAATGCAACCAACCAATTCTGTTAATCAACATGCAGTTTGTTTCAAATGTTTATATATAGTATAGCTAACTTTATGCAAAATAGTTTTAAAACACCATTGCTTGCATATTATGTTTATATAAACATCATAATAAGGTTTGAGACGATTCTAATAATGTTTTACATATATTTTTTTATATAAAAGTTTATAATGTATTACTTTCATTATTATATTACTATTAATTATTGTATTAATATATATTAATAATAATTATCGTTTTTAAATGATATTAGTTTAATATAATTATTATAATTCAATACAGTATGTATGTATAATATAATATATTTATACATAATTTTTTCTTCATTTACCAGTCTCTAATTCAACAAGATTATCAGGAAGGAATATAAAGAAAGCATAATCAGTTTCTTCTTTGACAATACCATTAGGTTTTCTTATAATTCTGTTAAATGAGAAATGACAATAGAAGGAAAAAAAGAAAAATGAAAATATTACTATTCTGTTATTTAAGATTATTATGCACTCAATCAAATTGTAGAATATGCTAACATATTTGATATATATATATATATATATATATATATATATATATATATATATATATATATATATATATATATATATAAATTTTCTAAAACTTTGACTTCCATAATGAAATTAACATTAATTTGAAAATTGTTAAATTTTAATTATTTTTTAAATTTGATAAAGAAAAAATAAAAAATTTAAAATAAACTGGTCTATTCTAAAAACTGAGCCTGGCTATAAAAACATTTCAAAAATGACTATGTTTACAGTAAAAATTTGAAATCATTATTCATTTTTATTATGAAAATTTACTAAACAAAAAACCTCAATTAATTTCTAAATGCAAACAAGAAAATAAGTACCTTTTAAAAAACTATAAAATATATAATATAATAACCTATAAAATATTTATATATAAATAAAAACTAATAACAATAAAAAACTATATAAAAACAAATGACTAAACTAAAATTATACTATATCTAAAGAACTATTTTCATAAATAGTTTTTTAATTTTAATTTAGTCATTGCAACTTTCCCGTTGCGAAATAGCTGCAGTTATTATATAATTGTTTTCTTTCTTTCTGATTCTGATTTACTGCCAACAAGGTGCAAGTAACCACTATTAATTTGAGAGTTACTAGATGAAAAAAAGGAATAGAGTTATAGAACAAGGAAACAGTAAACAAAAGACTTGAAAGTTGTAGGTTGTATGAGTCTAGATAACATAAAGATTGGAGTGAGTTCTCAAGGGTTAGAGTGTGGGGAGACAGATACAGTATAAGATTTTGTTAAATGACGAGCTGTGCAAGAATAAGTTTTAGTTGATTGAACTAGAGATGATAGCTCCTTTGAATAGCAACCATGATAGTATTTGTAGAAAAAAGAAAAAGGTGCAACTTTATGGCAATTGAAGAGAGACTCAAGCTTGGCAGATAGAACAAGTCTTACTATATATACAATGTGTTAGTAAACCTTGTTTAGTAGAGGAAAAAAAATCATTCGAAGAACCAGCCTAAATATGTCAACAGTAGATTTGTAAAGGAAGAGAATGGAGTCAGAAGTAAGAAAATGGAAAGTATGATAAAGAGAAGCAACCTTAGCAAATACTTATTTGAAATCAATTGTATAAATGGTTTCCATAAAAGGTCAGTAGTAAACGATAATCCAAGAAGACATTTAGAAGAGGACTCAGTGAGAGGGTTGATATTCTTTAATATAGGAATGTCAATAGTATTATGATAGTTTTTTGCAGTAAATAACAGTAAAGAGTTTTGTTGGAGTTTAAGTTAACAAGCCATTATAAACCTCTGTTACAGAAGTGAGATCAGATTGCAGGTCAGCTGCTTGTTCTAAGCGAACAAAAATAAAAGATTTTTTATCAAGAATAGATTATAAAGTTGAGTCATCAGCAAAAAAAACTATTTTAGATGTGAGGTTTTCAGGAAGATTATTAATGTAGATAAGAAACAAAACAGAATGAAGGATAGAACCATGAGGTACCCCAGAAGTTACTGGAAATTAAGAAGAGTGTTCGCCTTCAAGAAGGACTCTACTAAAGCGGTTAGAAAGAAACAGTTTGATAATCTGAAAAACTTTCTTTGAGAAACTATATGAATTAAGTATATGGAGAAGACCAGCATTCAAATTTTGTCAAAAGCTTTAGTTATGTCAATAGCAATAGCCCTAGCCTCTTCTCCTCCTTCTTATGTAAGATAACTTGTTAACACTTGTTAATGATGTTAAAGATTTTCCAAAACTCTCTAGAGCCTAACTTTTGAGATAAGATAAGAGATAAGATAAGAGATAAGATAAGCGATTTATTGAACTAAGAATAATGAAGTTTAGCATCAGACAGCAATGTTTTACATTGGTTTCTTGCAATAATAAATAGCTGTTTGTTCTTAAGAGAGTTGTTATTTTAAAAAAGATGGAAAAAATGGTTACAATTAGAGATGTAGCTTCACAAGAAGGTGAAAACCATCGAGTAGAATGAGGTTTGACTTAGAACCAACAGGAAGGGATAAAGCTTCACATCTTTTTGTAAAAGATTTTTAAAACAGTTAGATGTTAATGATGGTTTTTTTATGTTTATTGTTTTGGGTTACATTTAGCATAATTTAAGTTTTAAGAGAACTTGATTCATTCATAGATAGAGCATGGCCTCCTAAGCAATGATCTATACAGTTGTCTCAGTCCTGTTAACTAATCCAAAGTGCAATAAAGCATTAATACATTATCTATGGTGAAAAAATGGCACTGTTAATACTCTGATATTTTGTTTCTGTTGATGGAGTTAGGTTCAATGAGAGCTATGGTTCAAAGCTGGTCAATATTATCAGAATTATTCTGCTTACCCCTTAAGTCTTTGGAGGCCTTCTACAAGACAGTTGCTTAATGCAGTAAACATCTGCCCAAGATAACTATTTTTATTGAGACACCCTGACTAGTCTTTTTCAAGTCAAAGTTTATTTCTCCAAGCGTTTGCCTAAGAGCACACCCAAAAAGGCAACAGGGCTTATGGCAGGTAGTACTGGGTTACATGATACCAGTAGTAGGGTGATTGTGATGATCCTGAACCTGATCTGACCTGAAGTAGTTAAAAGGAGTTACTTTCTGTAAACATAACTTTAGCATTTTAAAGGAAAGATATCTTAATAAATATATTTGGAAAAATATTACATCTAAAAAAATACTTGAGTTTAAGGTAAGCATAAGTTTTATAGTTGGAGTCACTAGTTAGTTTTTAAGCTCACACTAGATTAGAGATTTAAACAGAATACAAACATATATAAAGTGTGAGAAAACATTGCGCCAGAGGTTCAGACACAACTCCAACATACATATAGCAACTTGTGGGTTAGGCCAGATTGCGTCAGAAGTTTAGATAGAACACAAACATGCATATAAAGTAAATTGAGGTGAGCTAACACAATAACTAAGGTGCCTTCAATTATATAAAAAATACATACACAAAAAATAAAAAAATTATGTATATAAAAAGAGAAAGATAGTTGTTGCAGGGTTACTCTGGATCGCTTTCAATTTGACTGGTCCACTCCTGCCATGTTTAATAGATCCTCCTGCATTGTCAGAAAGATTTATCTTTTTCATTTTTCATAGTACTTAGAGTATCCTTAGTTGAAAGATCAAATAGTTCTGCTGGATCAGCCCGGAAAATTTCTTCTTTAATTCTGCATCTATTTAGTTTTTTCCTTTTTTCTTCTTAAGAATAAGGTATCATTATACAGTTTTTTTTACTTTTTTTTAAGCATTTTTTATCCTTTAAGTCAGGATTTTCCTTCTTTCCTAGATAGCTAATACTGTTGAAACTGTTCTTCGAATCAATGTCTTTACTTTTTGTTTTGCCTATAGTTGATCAAAATAAATAAAAATATATGAAAAGTAATACACAAAATATATAAAAATATTCAAATCATACAACCCCAATATATAGACCCTAGAATCTGGTTTTTCCAATAAGGTTATGGCTTTACTAAAAATGCGAGTAGATACCATGAAAAAATTGGAACGAAACTGTAGCCTTGTTTTAGATAAAATGTCTTTAAACCAGCATCTTGATTATGACAAAAACAGTGACAAGATCATTGGAATTCAATCTAATGGCAAACCAGTAAATCATGTACTTTTACTAATGTTCCTTAGGTTATCAACAAAATAGAAACAACCGATTGTTTATTTTTACAATAATACTACTTTGTGTTCAACCAATTTAGCTAAGATAGTAAATAATACTATGATTCATCTAGATAAAATAGGTTTACCTATATAAGGTCTTGTTTGTGATCAAAGCTCAAGTTATATTAGAGTTCTCAAATTTTTAGGATTTTCATTATTAAAGCAACAAATTTTACATCCAACAACAGGAGCAAAAGTTTATATAATATTTGATCCACATCTTATAAAAAATGTTAAAACTAATTTAATCTGGCATTTGATGGTAAAATAATATCATGAAAGCATCTAGAAGAATTTTATAAATTTGACAAGATAAATGCTATCTGACTTGTGCTAAAGTTAACAGATCGTCCAGATCCAGGATCACTATTAGCCATGTGAGTAAAATTGGCAGCACAAATTTCCACAGCATTTTTTATTAAAAATATGTATATTTTATTTGACATCTTGAACTCTTGTAAATTAAAAGCAGATAAATCAACCTACTCTGCTCTAACTCTAAATAGTAGTTTTATACAAAAGCTTAAAGATTTAAAAGTTTGGATTAAGGGTTGGCATTATTGTCTTCTTAGAACACCTAAAACAAAAAACCAGAAAAACAAGAAAATTTTTTCAAACTTATAAAAGTTTTAAAAAATTTCTCTTTTAATTAAATTATGTTTTTAAAATCCAAATTCGGTTTTCAGTTAAATTCGGTTTAGAAGTCCAAATTCGACTTTTAGTTAAATTCCGTTTACACATATGATCTAAATTTGTTTTATTTCATTTAAATTTGAGCCTTAAAATGTTGACTTCGCCGGTCCTTAGTCTATCAGTTGCTGACAATTTAGTTTTTGAAGGATATAGTGGTTTGTAGAAGTGTTTGCTTCATAAAAATAGTACAAGAAACAAATTGCAGCAAGCTTAGTGTTAAATTGAAACTGGCATGAAAAAAAGACAAGAACTTGTTGATGAGAAAGATGTATTAGAAAAAAGGAGTCAAGAACTGGCAGTTTAGTCAATTTAGAATTATATTGGTTTATATTGAAACTCTATTTATTTTGCATTGAAGCTTTATTCTAACTCTACAGAATGAGTTTTTTTTTTCAAATAAAACATTAGTAGCATGGTATTAACTTAAAAAAATTTATTAACATTTAGTACTTTGTTTCTATTCTCCTTTACAAATCTTTTCACATAATAAAAGTAGATTTAATTTGAGTTCTTTGTTAAGTATTTTAGATATAAGTTTTTGTTTGCATTACAATGACAACATTTTCATGTTGTCATTATTAAGTTCAAGAGTTTTTTGTTTAAATTATGTTTTGTTTATTGTCTACTTTAAACAAACATAAGTTATTTCCAACGGTAAATAATATATTATTTAAGGGTAATAATATATTATTAATAATTGATTAATTAAAGGGTTAATAAAGTTTAATAATTTAGCTAATAAAGGGTAGTTAAAGGATTAATAAAGTTAAATAATAATTTAATAAAGGGCAAAAAACATAATATTAATAATTAATCGATTAAAGGGTTATAATTCCCAAATCTAACTTTAAAAAGTTTTATTCTGAAACTTATTTATCATTTTAGATTGTCCTAAAATGTTCTAAATTTCACGCAAATTTGTCTAAAAAAATTAAATCACAATTCATGGCATTTCTAAAAAAAAATATTGGATTTAAAAATTTTTGAATAAAAAATATTTTTAAGGGTTTCACCAGACCCTTAAACATCAGATGGATGCCTAATATTGTTAAAAAAAAGTTATATGATGATGATGATTGTAATAATAAAGACAATGATCATGATAATGTTGATGTTGACAATAATGATGGTGATGATGGTGATGATGGTGATGATGGTGATGATGGTGATGATGATGATGATGATGATGATGATGATGATGATGATGATGATGATGATGATGATGATGATGATGATGATGATGATGATTATAAAGATGATAAAGACAATAATGATCATAATGACAATGATGATGTCAACAATAAAAACAATGATGATGATATTTATTTTTCTTTATTTACCTAGCTGAAATTGATAAACCATGGAAGTTTAACGATAAAACAACAAGAGCGTTTTCTATAAATGAACTAATAGATACAAATTTGCCAAATTACAACTCAGTGCAACCCAATGGTTCAACACACAAAGATGTTGGATGCTGTTGCTGCGCTGCTGGCCCTTTAGATCTTACAGGTAGATTATTCAGATGTTTTGCGATGTTTTATTTTTTTTTGTCTTTTAAAATTATTTAAAATAAAAATAGTATTTCTAAAATAAGCACACAATAAAAAAGAACAAAAAATATAAAAAAATTTATGCATAAAAAATATATGTACATAAAATATAAAAATAATTAGTATAAAGAATATATTATATATTTATTCTTGTAGTTTAAATTTTTTTTCTAATTCTGCTCTGGTGTAAACTCAACAATTATTGACATTTTTGCTTTTACCAAATCTTTTTAAATTAATGATTCACAAATGGGAAAGTGTGACTGTTTTGAAAAAAAACTATTTGAAAAATATAGTTATTTTGAAAAAAAAAATGATTAAAATTGTTTTTTTGAGAATTATTTTGAAATAGAAAAAAGGAACAAAATGGAAACAATTAGAACATAGGTAAAATGGAATAATGCTGAAAATGCGAGATTAAAAATAAATAATTAAATATTTCCTTGCTCTAACTTTCCTAGTTTCTAGATTTTTGGCTAAAAGATAAATAACAAGATGAAATTTCAAAATATGTCCGAAAAAAGTTTTCAAAGCAACTCCTATTTTTCAGTTTATTCCACTTTTAGCGTTTTGGAATCATTCTTTTCTTTAATTTCTAAACAGGTACCATTTATAGTTTACTCATAATATTTGCTTCTTTTGAGATCATTTTTGCAGGAATTAGAAATCCTGCCTTTAAATAATCAATAAGAGGTTCTGATAAACGGACTCTAGAACTCCTATAGCAAAATGGGTTTAGGAAAAATGAGGAATTCTAAAGCCCCTTAAATTAGGATTCAGAATAAAAAGTTCTGGAACCATTTGTGTAAAAAAAAGTTATAAAACCTCATGGGGTTTCAGAGTACCTTTTAATTTAGGTTTTGGACCTCAATTAGGGGTTCCAGAACCTTTTTTCAACCAAAGTGGTTTACAAAAGTAAACAAATGGCTCCAGAACTCTTTATTCAGAATTTTGAATTCAGGGGTTCTTTTTCACTTTTCCTAACCTTATTTGAATTAATTTAAACTTAAAAGAATTAATTTTCAGAAAGATATTATAGATAAAATAGTTTCAAAGGTTTAAATTTATTTTAAAAAAATACATAAAAAAATTTAATTATAACACTTTTTGTTAATTTACACAAAATGCATTTGTTTTAAACAAATTTTATTTAAATCAAGATCAACAGTTTTTTTATTGCATTTTTATTGTTAAAACATCAAAATAGTTGTGGTCAAATTGTAAAGAAAAAACATCAAAATAGTGGTCAAATTGTGAAAATAGTTGTGGTCAAATTGTGAAAATAGTTGTGGTCAAATTGTAAAGAAAACATCAAAATAGTTGTGGTCAAATTGTAAAGAAAACATCAAAATAGTTGTGGTCAAATTGTAAAGAAAAAAATTTTTAAAAAAGTCAGATACAGCGTGCGATCGCATGCCATTTCTGTCTGATATGCAAGCTGAATCTTTAAAAAAATTAGTTACTAACTTAAATTATTTGCTAAATTTTCCAAATGTTCTAAAACTTATGTCATATGATCTCATCAATAATAGTTTACTAACTTAAATTACTTAAGTTAGTTACTAACTTAAATTATTTGCTAAATTTTCTAAATGCTCCAAAACTTATGTCATATGATCTCATCAATAATAGCCTTGATAAAAAAGAGTGTATATGACCTTAAGATCTAGGAAATGTGCCCAAAAGTTTCACACTAAGACATTTTGAAAAATTTGTTAAACTAAAAGATACATCAATAAAGTGTTTGATTTTACCAATATAAAGAACTTCCAAATTATTTTACACAAAATTATTTTTATACTTTTATCTAGTTTCTGCTTACAGAAACATTGTATTACATTTTAATATGAGTATTTTTTTTTCATTTCAGGTTTATTTTTTTGTTTATTTCATAGCTCTTTAAGTAAACTTTATTCATTTTTATTAACATAAGAAAACTTTTCATTATATCTAAGAAGATTTTTTTTGAACCCTAAAAAACTGAATATATTTTTAACTGATACTTGAGTTCATGGTAAAATTAGAGTAACTAAAGCCATTTCATATTAAAGTGGATGAATTAATTTCTGATTTTTCAACCAATTATAACAATACCATATTTAATTTAATAGATTGATCCTTTTTGTAATCATGATAAAAGCATTCAACTTGTTTCTCAATAATTTGTGTTATTTGATTATCTTTAGTTTGTTTATTGATAAATTTGATTATCTTTAGTTTGTTTATTGATAAATTTGATTATCTTTAGTTTGTTTATTGATAAATTTGGCTTTTTTTTCCATTTGCAAATTCTGTATCTTGCTCTGCGACAATATTTAAACTTTTTCAATCTTTTTTTATAGTTTTTATTTTTTTTAAATAAAAGCAAAATCATAAAAAATGAAAAAGTAAAAGTTAAGTACAAAACTGTTAATTTGTTTATAGAGACTTTTTAAGCTGCTTTTTATTTTGAAAAATATTTTTATTTAAAAACGAATAAAAAGATTAAAACAAGTATTAAATTTTTTTTTAATTTGATTAATTTACTTTTTTAAAACAAATAATCAAAAATCTTGATATTATTTCATCCTTGTCAAATACATTTGAAAATCAGATGTTTTAACAAAAGATTTTCAGTTGTTTAGCTTGAGTCAATTCTTTGTTATAATTTTAATATAACAAACTTTTTTTTATCAACAACAGAGTCTCTCTAAGATGGAATAATCTTTTAATGAGAGATTTGTTGCAAAATTGTCTTTATTATAATTGTCTGACACTTCTGTCTCAATTTCTAAAACTCTGCTAGTTTTAGAAATTGAAACAGAAAACTTTCCAAGTTTCCTTTTTTCAGCTTTAGTAACTTTAGGCCTCATCTTTCTTGATAAGATGTCTTTTTTAGTTTTGTTTAATTTACAATATCTATATCTGTACAATACCAATACCTATGGTAAACATGATATTTCTTGATACAATATATAATGTTATATACAATATAACATAACATACAATATAACCTTGGATCAAGAAATATAAAACAGCACAAAATACAGATTTATCAAAAGCTTTATGGTCTTACCACTCTGTTTTCTTTTACGATGTTTTAACAAGATACATTTACTATTTTATTTTTTTAAAGTCGTATTTGCAATTATTACAAATTTGGTTAATATTGGTTTAAAGTTATTTGTTCTGTTTGTAAATTTTTGGTTGCTTGTTACTATCACATTGAATCAAGATACAATTGCTATATTTTCCACTTGAGCAATGAGAATGCAAAAGTATCATTCTCTTCTCTTAATATTTTATAAATCTTAATATTATTTAATATTAAAAAATTCATTAAAATTCTAGCATATCAAATTTGAGCTCCAACTAGTCAAATTAAATTTCAAAATGTTTTTATGATTTTAAGACATTTTGCTCAACATTGGAAAAACTAATCAGATGTAAACAAAACTTCACAAAAATCAAAATTTTTAAGTGGTTTTTGAGGAAACTCGATTTAATATTATCCAAATTTCTGCCAATCATATTGATAAATATAGATTCTTGAGATCAGAGTGTCAAAAGCATCTTAAAAGAATCATTTTATTGGGTGGAGAGTACAAAGTAACAATAAAAATTGTAAAGAACTGTTAAATAATTTATAGCTGTACCCTCCCCCACCCTCCCCAACTAAAAATTAGAAATTTTTTAACTTGTCATGTTATACTTTTTTTTATTTTTTTTATTTTATATTTTTTTATTTTTGTCTCATTACAAGACTTTATCATTTGACATATTAGAGTATTTAAATATTATTTTTTTCAGCAAGCATTGATCGAAGCGCTTATTGTCCAGGTGAACTTATATTTATAACTGCTGAGGCTCTAAACAACACTACTCGTAACATGGCTGGAATGAAAGCTCAACTCTACAAGCATGTAGAATACATTGCTAGCCATAAAAGAAAATGTTGTTCTGAAAAAATTGCTGTAATTCAAGGTAGAAATTGCTATACTTGCAATTAAATAATAAATTTTTACCATATGATTTCAATTTGCACTCCAAGAATATTTTAGAATGTCAAGTTTCTATATTTAAAATTGTTCAAATCCAGTGAAATGTGTTTGTAGTAACAAAAAAGTTTAAATATAAAAATATTGTCACCACCAAATTATTTCAATAGTTTTATTACAAAAGTTTGTGATCTTTGTATAAAAGTTTATTTTGTTTAGTGCTTTGACATTTTTTTTAAAGGTTAGTGTAGCAGTCTGCATTTTTTTTCTTTACATTTTTCTTTATGGTTATTTCAGCAGTTTTAACATTTTTCCTAATGGTTAGTGTGGCAATTATGACATTTTTACTTTGAAATTTTTATCCAATGAATTTTAATTCAAAATGCTTTTTAAAACAAAATTTTTATATCTTTTTATTTCTTTTTTTTTTTTAATTTTAAAAATATTTTTTAAATCTTTTTAAAATAATAAAACTGATGCAAAAATTACATAATTAAAAACATTAGTTGTATTAATTATTGAAGCTGTGATAAAAATGATATGATATAATTCTTTATTCTGAAAATAGTTATAAATATTTTTATCTCCATCTTGAAGATTCTAGACATGAAAATTAGTAAAACCTTTTAAGTCATTTTAAAAAATCCTGTAACAAAAAAATAATATTTTTGTTTATACAAAGTCATTAATTTTAATTTAAATAATAAATGCACTTTAATAGTTTTTATTAATTTATACTTTAATAATTAACAAAAGTAGTAATTATAGATTGTTATAATTATTTGAAATGATTATAATCAAATTATTAGTTTTAAAGATATCCTAAATATACAGTTTTAAAGATATCCTAAATATAAATATATTTAGATATCTTAAATATTTTAATGGTATGCATCATCAAATAGAAAAAAAAACTTGGAGCTCCAACAACCAGAATGCAGGGTTATTAATTTTTTGGTACTATGGGGCACTGGACTCTTAAAAAGTTAAAATCTAGAATCTGTAATTCAAAGTTATTGAAGGACCAGTTTAAACCCTGCACTCATGTTATTTGTTTAAATATTATTTAATTTAGGTCCTAAAATACCAAAAGGTGAGTCTGATTCCTGGCAAAATCAGCCTTTTTTAATTCCTGCAACGTGTCCGACGATTTCAACATCTAGTCTTATCAAAGTCTGGTATGAATTAAGTGTTGAAATTGATGTTTCTTGGGGATTTGACCCAGCTGTAAGAATGCAGATTATCATTGGTACAGTGCCACATTTTTCAACGTACTGTCAACCTGGTGCTAGTTTTCAACCTAATCAATTTCAACAATATCCTGAACTTCAAAGTCAAACACCAAGTTAGTTTTTTAATTATCTTTTTTTTTTTTCATAGTGTAAAAGATCATTGTGTAAAAACTTAGTAAACAACTTGATAAACATTTTATTACAAGGAAAGTATATAAAATATAAAATATACTTATAGTTAATGTACTCCTTAGCTAACAAGTTTTAACAAGTAAATTTTGATAATTAAATGTAGCACTCATGTAAAATATGTGTATATATATATATATATATATATATATATATATATATATATATATATATATATATATATATATATATATATTCTTTCTTTTTGATTACATTATGTATTTGATGTACCTGTTTGAACTAACATGTACCTGTACTTGATACCTATTTGAAACATTTTTTTGTTTTGCATGCATGTTACTTAATAAATTTAATAATTTTTTTAGATTCTTTGTTTTAATAAAAATGCATAACTTCTATCATGTCATGAAAAGCAAGGTCATAGCGAGTATTCCATGAAATATCATTTACAAATATATTGCTTTAATATTTATCTTCATACAAATAAATGTGATTAAGAAATATATATATTTTTATATATACTAAGAATCATATCTTGCTTTTCAAAAAGGTTCTCTTGATCCAGCACTGAGTTTAAGAGATAATTGTTAGCTTGTATTATTGAGATATCAGTATCTTATATTTTGCAAGAGTTTTAAAATAAAATTTAAAACATCTTCACATAGTTCTATTAATTTCCCAGAAATTTTTTTTTTTTTTTTTTTTTATGTTGATTTGTTTTCAGGTTTTCACACTTTTATTTGTTTAGTTATTGCTATTTGAGAACACATTGAAATGCCACCATTTTAAAAATACTTAGATCTTAACATCCAATATCATTCTATGCTTAGCATAATCTAGTAGAGATATTTTGTTGTACTTTAGGAAATGCACTGTTGAACTATGGGTTCTCTTTATGAAACAAAGAAGCACAAACTGGCTAATGCTCAAGCTGGCAACAAAGTGACATTTTTCATTATTAAAGAAACAGCTAGTTTTGACTTATAAAAAAACCTGATAAAACACATTGGTAAAAGTGTCACTATCATTAATACACTACCACAGTGCTTAATCTGTAGGATTACTAGAGAAATGCTGACTAAAGAATCAAAACTTGTGTTGACTTATGTGACTTGCTAAAATATTTTTATTGAGTAAAAACTGACTTTTCTTACCTTTTAAAGTTTTTTTGCTATTCTTATTTATAAAATCTATATGTCTGTATTTTTATAAATTTATATCACAGTTTAAATACAAAACCTAAGAATTCTGCTATGATTATGTTATGAAAAAGTATAATTTACAGAATGCTAAAGAATGATAAGATACTAGGGATGGCTTTTTTACTTTTTCTTTACTTAAACGAGTTAGTTTATTTTTATGATAAAGTAAATTACATAAATGACTTTAAACGTTCAAATTACATTCATACTAATTTTTACTTTAAAAAGTAATTTATGTAAAACGATTTCATCAACAAGTAATTTACTTTTATACATAAATATAAATAGCATAAAAAAACTGTTCAATTTTACATTTAGAACATAATTACTTTTTAAAATTACATTACGTAATATAATAGTTCCTTAAACTGTAATTTACATTTACATACAAAAATTGGTAACTAATTATTGAAAATAAATTATTTAAAGTGAAATTTAAATTACTAAAAATATATAATTTGTGAAGTAAGTTAAAAGTAATCTATATCTAAAGTAAATTTTAAGTAAAGTAAAGTAAGTTATATTCTACTTTTATTTTACATATTTATACCTTTATAACTTTAAGAAGATTTTGTACAACAGTAATGCAAAAAAATTTCAGTAACTAACATTTAGTTTGCAACAACATTTAGTCTGCGCATTTTTAGGTATTTACACCATGTAAAGTTTAAAAATATCAATAATAGTTTTCTGCCCATGTTTAAAACCCTCTCTAGTTTTAATCCATGATATTTTTTGCTATAAAAACCTTGAATCAAACCATTTCAAAAAATTTGATTGCTGGCCAACCATTTGAACGATCCAGAATTTAGAAAAAACTGAAACATGGCAGTGAGCAGAAAGCACAATTACCCATGGAAGACTCAAAAAGGGTTGGCTATTGTAAAAACATAATTGGCATAGCTTTAGTTCTTTTTTTCAAGTTTTTTGCGTAAAGTTTTTTATTATTTAAAAACAATGGAGGAAAAGCAATAATCCTAAGCCCCGCAGATTTAGGAGCTGTAAACTTTTTAAGAAGTTGCTTTTTTTTTGTAAAGTTTTTTTGATATGAACTGCCACTTTTCTACTTTGATATAAAAAATGTCCACCTGCTCAAGAATTTACTCAAAATCTAAAAGTCTTAATCTGGCTTTGGTCTAAACAAACTATTGTAATTTGAAAAATTTAGAACTTATGTAAAAAGATTTATGTAAATATCTTTATATGTATGTAGTATCAGTGGCTTAACTACCACAGTGTAAGCAATGTAGTAATGGACTTGAAAAATCCTCATTAAATTCTGACCGTAAAATTGTCACAGAATTTTTTAACGCCATAGATGTGAATGATAGCGAAGTGGTACACATCCGACGTTACCAAAATAGTAAAAACGGAAACATTGGAAATCAAACCAAGAATAAATCAATTGGTGTTATTCAAGTAGTATTTAAGAATCGAGACCTCCAGCAAGACGCTCTGAAAAAAGGAAACTACCATGGCAAGGAACTTTTCAAAGGAGTTTACTTAAGAGAAAACCGCACTGCAGTAGAACAAGATGTGTTTGTTAAACTAATTACAGAAAAAAAATACAAAAACGATAAACTGGAAAAGACTCTGCCAAACCAGCTCTTTTGCTATATCATCCACTGCCTCACAGGTACCGTACGCTGCATTGACACAATTGAATCAAAAAGGAATTCCAGATGTCACTAGATCAGCAAAGAACAAGCTGAAGTTATTCAGAGGGCCTTCTGTAATAACACAACACATTACCCTACAAGCCTCAATGCCACTACCTCCGCCAACGTTAGAGATACCAATCCATTCACTACTTACAAATATGGCTCAATTAAAGAGGCGTATACCTCCTAAACAATTCAAAATAAAACCCAAACCCGCAAGATATGCACAACAACCATTACTCAATACTTCAACTACATCCAAACTCAACCACATCTACTTTTGGGCTAACAACCCTTGCTCCCTAAACAGCAACAAAATACTAGAGCTTAAAGCTAGAATTAACACTCCCCTAATAATTGAACTAAAACCAGATGTTATCTTCGTAGCTGAAACGTGGTTCAATGAAACATCAGACACCTCAATTGATGGATACCATTCGCACTGAAAAGGCAAAGGCAGTCGAGGAGGGTGTGTGGCAATGTATATTAAATCTAGTATCCTTGCTTTATTAACCAGTATAAAAAAACTAAACGACTCTAGCATTGAGCAACTTTGGCAAATTATCAAGTTTGGTAATGAAAAACTCCTTCTAGGATGTATCTATCGACCTCAAGATAATAACAATGATACCCTGAAAATAATTTCTTCAATCAAAGCCGCTAATTGCAATCTCTCGAAATTAGGCTGCGCATCCATGCTCTTATACGGTGACTTTAACTTTAGCCACACAACATATGAAGAATTTGTAGTTGATGACAGTAAATTAGTTGTAGCGCATATCAACAATGAATGGCCTAGTGACACTAAGTTTCAACAATATATAGGTGAGCATTATTTAACTCAATTGATAACATTCCCAACATATCGCAATTCAAGAAACAATACAATGGGTAATACTCTTGACCTTGTCATTACCGATAAATCAAACAGAGTTAGAGACCTCAAAAAGGATGATCCTATCAGAGACACCTAAAGGTAAAACTCACTTCCTAATCACTGGACATTTCGAAACTATGAATTTTGAAATACCAGCTACTTTTCATTCACATTATATTTGGAGCAAAGCAAACTATCAAAAAATATCAGAATATATCATGGATTACAATTGGGACAAAAACTTTACTAATTATTCAGCAAACTTTAACTACTAACTACTTGTAAACAAATATATGGAAGCTGTGTGCAAGTACATTCCAGTAACTTCTGTTCCCTTCAAAACAAAAAAAGAATCTTGGACCACACCAGAAGTTAAAGAAGCAGTTTTTCATAAACGTAATTTCTGGAAGCAATATGTCGCTTCTGGAACTAAAACACATGAAGCACTCAGGATTAAGCATAAAATAACTTGTAAACATGTATCAGAGGTAATAAAAAAAGCTATTAAAAGATACGAACATCAGTTAGTTTTCAAAAATGACCCAAAGAAACTTTATGATCACATCAAAAATAAAGAAGAAACTAATAACTCACTTCAACCTCTCGAAGATGACAATAAAAACATTATAACCGACGGTGCAGTTATTTCTGATATTCTAAATAAGTACTTTCATTCTGTATTAACTACTGAAAAACCAGATTCGCTGCCAGATTTCGGATAACGTACAAATGTATCTTGCACTATAGACTTAAATTTCATATCGGCGACTTCAGTTCAAGAAAGACTAAAAAAAATCATTGAAACTAAGTCAAAAGGATATCACGACAAACACCCACGAGTATTATGCAACTGTGCTTCAGCATTTGCAATTCCATTAGCTATGATCTATCGAAAATCAATTTGCGATTCACAGGTTCCAGAGCTTTGGAAAAGATCAATTGTCACCCCAATTTTTAAACAAGGCAGCAAGCAGAACCGAGCCAATTATAGACCAGTCTCACTAACATCGGTACCCTGCAAAATTATAGAAGGTGTTATACACGAAAAAATCATAAATCACTGTTTTCGCACTAACCTAATATCCAAAGAACAGCACGGATTTCTTCAAAGTAAAAGATGCACATTGAACTTACTTGAAACTCGGAATATACTAACCGAAGCAATGCATCAAGGCTGCGCCACTAATATCATTTTTACTGACTTTGCAAAAGCTTTTGATAAA